GTACATCTACTTCACTGCACTTTGGATTTGACTTTCTATTGCATCTTTACCTTAAAGCTTTATTATTTTTGCAGATAAATTCTATTATAATAGATCAAGCTACCAAGCAACATATAATAAGCAGCAGCTATTTATGTACTATTCTGAAAACACTGCAGGCCAATGTCCCTCAATAATCTTGCTTACGTTTTGGCATTGATCACATGCCAATTAAATATAAGGCCAATATTGTTTCTTTTAACCCATAAAGGCAGCTTATGAAGGGAAGAGCAGTGTGTCATGATTTATGAGATGATGAATAGTCATCACTTCTGAACACGTTTTAATGACCATGAAATGATTGTGATTTATACTTTCCACAACAATAAAATTAATAATACAACAAAACACACTTTTCAGCTTTTCGTGTATTTTGAAAATAGATTTGTCGGAGACCTGGAGTGTTATTGTGCACTTTGGGTCAACTTCTGTCGTTTAAATGTGCATAGGCTTTTTTTTTTTCTTTTTTTTTTTTAAACCAGACATGCCAATCAACACAATTTAGTACATACTGCACTTCTATATCAATATTTTACGCAAGCGCAGAGCTGCCACCCAGGCAAAAGAAAAATAGAAGTATATCACGTTATAACGTGAAAAGTTTATTGTTCTAACTTTCATATACTTTATATGTTTGTACAATGTACGTAATTATATTGTTCAAACATGAAAAGTATATTGTATTTGTTTAACTATCTGTATTGTATCCCCAGTTCTCTAATATACTCAGTCCTAGTTAACGTTTCCACCCTGCGGCCTTGGCTGCTAACACAAGATCCTAGGCTGTTATCACTGTGAGCACGCTAGCATGCTAAAATAGCCAAACTGATATTACTCGTCCTTACTTTAAAATATTCTAAATAAAGTTTTCTCTTCCATCACAGTCAAACGTGTCTATTTAATATATTATTATTATTCCTTTTATTACCTCTGGCGAGCTGTGTATGTTGAGCATCCATTATTTCAGCCGCTAAAGGCGGTCAGGTGACTTAAGGCTGGAGCACAGGGCAGGTAGGTTGATTTATGGTTTAAATTCTCCGCTTAAACAGTCCCTGTGAATTAACTTAGTGAATCTGTCAAAGTAAAGAATCTGTAAAGAGCTTTGGTGGTCTGTTATTTTTGCTTGGAGATTGTTTAGCTGTTTAAAAGTGAGTCGGTCACATCGGAGCCTTAAGAACAGCTTTATGTAGACAGCCATGTTTCTCTTTAATTATCTACCAGTACAGGAGACTCTGTTTTCTTCCGTTTTTAGTTAAGAGTTTGAGGGAAGTTGGTCTGTCCTATCAGTCATATCAGTCAGTGTAGCACTACCACTGTCAGATCCAGGGCTTAGACTGTTGCAAAACTAGAAACCAGTGGAGCATGGTGGCTCTTTTCAACACAAATGAAATTTAAAGGCTCATATTTATGCAACTCATTAAGTTGTAGAGATATTAAGGTGACTTGTTTGTTTTCTCTAGCTCAGGGGTGGAAAACATTGTTTTAGTTCTTGGGCCACATACAACCTATTTTGTACAAGTAATAATGTTTAAAGGGGGTTGTATCAACTTCTGCAAAATAAAAAAAACACAATCCCGTCTCCTATTACCTTAAAAATTTGCCAGACAAACAAAAGCATTATTTCTTGTTCAGCGATCGAGTAAGAAAACAGGTGGTGGATATATTTCAAGTAAATTTTGAATCAACTTTTTTAAAAATCTAAATGAATTGAATTAATTGACCATCAAACCACATTTGAAAGGTACAAACATTTCACATGTAGATCTTTTGAAACTAAACATCTGGTATTTCATGTCTTAATGATTCAAACAACTAGTCTCAGTTAGAAATGCTCAGACATTTCCCCTCATGTTGAAATGTTTCATACATTACAATGGGTCACATGGGTCAGGTTAGACAAATCGTTGGGCATGTTCCGGCTCCCACACTCTAAAAACTATTGTTTAAGCTTAACAAAAAAAATTAACGCAACAGTTTCCATTAATCTTTTTGCGTTAAGATAACTTGTGTAGAAATTACGTTGAACCAACAAACTACATTGAGTTAGAGGAATGAACTTTTCCTCTATAAGTAAAGGTAATTTTAATTACCATATACTTAATAATTGGTAACTTAAAAACATGTTTTTGTTTACTCAAAAAAATTATGTTTCTCCAACTTTTTTCCATATTATTCAAAACTGTTTTTTAAGTGTTATGTAATTAATGATAGTAGTTACGAAAACATTTTTTTTAAGTTCATCATTTAAAATATTAAGTAGCTGATTTTCTTCATTATCATCATAATTTTAGCTTTTTCTTGTTTTTATTATTGTACTAGCTTTTAAGAATTGAATGAATTCAACATTTTTAAGCAATTAACTTTTTTTTATTGTTTGTACAGTTTGTACAATTTATATTTTACTTTAGGCAATTCAACACCTTATATTTAAACAGTGAAAATAAACCAGAAATCCACTTAGAAAACATTTGTACTAAGTGTTCAGTAAATGTTAACTTTCAGTGTTCAAACTTTCATGCAGTAAACACATTTAGGATTAATTTTACACATACAGGACTCAAAATGGTTAACAATTTTTGAAACAGAGTCAACATGTTTAACATAATGCTGGTTCATTCATCAGCACATCTCTTTGAGGATTAAATGCAGGATAAGTGTTAAGGACAGGGTAGTACAACAACTGTCAAGACACATTTCTTGAATATAACATCTAAAAATAACTAGATAGAAAAAAATTAGTGTCTTCCATTTTTTATCCACACTATCATTTTTTCCCAGTGGACTTCCAAATACAAAGCAACACAATCTGAATAAAATTTCTTAGTGCTCAAAACAAGTGACATCTTTAGAACATACTGTTCTTGAGACTTGTTACTTTTGCACTGGCTCTCAGTCCATCAAGATCAAGCAACAGCTTCTGAAAGACTTCGAAAGTATATTTCAGTTCCTTGCAATAGCTCAGATCGAGAGCATATATTATGCCCATGAGTAACGCACAGCAACTTGGGATATCCGGGCCCTCCAGGATTTTGGAGGGCCCACAGGCTGTATATTTGACACCCCTGAGCTACAGTCTAAGAAAGGTTGGCCAATGTGCATTTAGGTCAGAAAGATTTGTGCTAATTGCTGACCGTTGTGTGGAGCATTATCTGCAATACTTATGCAGAAAATGAAAAGTCACAAGCAAGTTATTAAAACGCAGGAAAAAAAATTGCCCTGCTGGTCTCCGTCCAGGACAGTCTTCTCAAGAGCGACTCCTCCTGGTTAAGTAAAGCATTTGTGCATGTCCTTCAAACAGTTCTGTAAATGTGAGTGTAACATGTTTTCCAGATGTCTTTCTCTTTGGTGTGCAACCTGGCACCTCTGTCCGAATGTTCTAGTGCTTGTAACGTTATCTGAAAATCAAATAGTTGCTCTGCACTTGTGCATTACTGTGCAGAACGCTTCAGCCACCTCTTATTTCCTTATATTTAGTTTCTAAGGAGCCAGACTTTCTTATTTTTTAAGTGCAGTCTTGAGCAATAGTTCTCCAGCTTTCTGAAAGTTTTTCTTTGGACAATGGCTCATTTTTCACTCATTTATTTAACATAAATTCCTGAAGACTACTTTAAAAAATTAGAAGAAGGTTGACTAAGAGAGCTCAGGTTGTGTTGAAGAATAAAAGTGGTCGTACCAAACTCTGTTTTTTTCTTATATACTATATTTAAATGTGATTTCTGCACGTTTTAATAAATCACTAAACCTACTGTTCATTTGAAGCGTGACTCAGGACTTCAGCAGAGTTCTGAAAACATTTATCAAGGCTGTCACAATGAATGATCATTTGCTCTGAAATGTGGATTGAATTATCCCTGGAACAGGACACTCTCTTTGTCTTTGCACCGTTACATGTTGTCTTCTCCCCGCTCCAGTTCCAAGTAGCCAACCTCTCAGCCAGCTGACCAGAGACTCACTTCCCCTCCACTCATTGGTCTACTTTGCCTACATTACCAGGTAAAGATGCTCACACTGAACACAACAAATACTATTTCCCCCCCCAACTTTACTTCCTAGTTGCACAACAACCCTCCCTTTAAAAAGCACTTGAATCAAAGCAGGAGCCAAACACAGTTTTATGGAGAACAAAGGCATGCTAACGAAGTCGCTGTTTGGACAGGTTGGTGGTTGTCCGCCATGTTGGGTTTTCTTGTTAGAACAAATATGAAAGACATGCTCAATATGCATGATGTCTATGCTGGCGAGGGCTGTTGTGCTCACCGTATGTGTGTGTGTTGATGGTTGAAGTCTATCCAAGCATTTCTTGCTTCATTAGCTCACTACAAGGAAAGACATGGCAGAGATCCAGGCTCTCTGTCTTTCTTTCCATCTCTTCTGTTTTACCGCTGTGAGAGTAATCACCCAGTGTTGTGCCAAGGCATGCTGGGATTGAACAGTGGAGATCGTGTGGGTGTGGGTGGGGGGTGCCCGACTTGGCTTGAGTCCAAGCTTCTGATGGAGGGATGCAAGGACACCGAGGACGGTCGATAATCTGAAATACTTTCATAAGAGAAGACGTCCTCTTCTGTTGGCTTGTTGTGTGCCGCTGCATGACCTCCAAGGTGGCTGCTGTCATGTGTGCAACATCTGCGTTTGCATTTATTAACCGTCAAACTTCACTGCATCTTTTTTTTCAACCGCCAAATATAAAATGTGCACGTTTGTCTGCAAAAATGGGGGGTGTGAGACTGCATCTGTGCATGAAGAAAGCAGACGCACTGACATATGCAGAGAGAGACACATCAGACAGTGAGAAAGACAAAAACAGAGCAGCATGGTGAGAGAGACAAAAAGACAGACGCACAAGGATTCACACAGACGCAGCAAAAAAGTGGGTGGCAGACTAAGATGTAAGGAAAAAAGGAAAGTGACCGGCGCATAAAGGCTTATAAAAAATGAGACATCAGACACACAGAGAGGTGCTGATGCCAGGCAGACACACAGACAACGCTCCAGGCAGGCAGAAGGACGGACAGACAGACAGACAGGTGGACCCTGTAGCAATCAAGAGCAATATCCTGCTCCTCCTCTCCCAGCGTGGCGTGGATCAGAGCCGAGGTACTCTTTTTTTTTCACATTTATTTCTCAGCAGTCTTGAGTTCTCTGTCGTCCCGCCGTCTGCTGCGCTTCTTTTCTTTTTGTTTTGGCTGTTTTTCTTTGTTTCTTTCTGTCTTTCGTCTGCGCTTCCTGCCCTCCTTTGTGCCCGCGATGAGTGCCGACGTCTCAGGGCGCTGTGCCAGCACTGCCGGATGAAGACCAGGCTGTGCGTACCCGTGTGTGTGTTGGTGTATACAGATTGGCTTGTTTTGGTTCATCGGCAGCTGTAAACACTTGTTTGTGGCGTTACACGGATGTGCCTATTGAGCAGAGGACCCACTGCCAGCCTTCACTTGTAATTAAGACCGAGTCTTTACTAAGCAGAGAAATGCAAATAAATAGTTTTTAGAAACAAAGCGAATCGAAGATGAAGCAAAAAAGTGAAACATTCACTCTTTGCAGTCAGCGTGATGTTATAATTCTTGTAATACTTCATTGCCTCTGCAGTGTGAGGATTTTCCTGGAATTTGCTGTTTTAAATGAACTGCCAAGAAAAATGTTCAGTGTCTTTGTCGAGTTTTATTTTAGTTTTAATATCGTTTTAAGCCTCATAAATAATCTCTATATTTATGGAAGGCAGTAACACAAAATTGCAGCTACTGTGCCAACTAGAAAGGATACATCTCTGAATGTATCCCTGCTAAGTTGTGCTCATTTGCAACTCCATAACTTCCATCATAGGTCCTTTACATGTGGGAAACCAAGCTTTTATAGCCACCCTACCTTTAAAACAGACTTTGGATAAGTCTTCATCTTTGCAGAGAGATTTCGAAGAATCCAAAAAACTAACAGTGTGTAGACCCACAGCGACGACGCTGTGCAGGAAGAATGCTTATTGGTTGAAATGTCAGCTTAAGCAGAAAAGGGAACTTCAGTGGAGTTCAGCGCAAAGAGGAAGACGCACCAAAAAATAATCAAAGATGTAAAAAAAAATTGTTTTTTACGCATCACTGCAACTTTGAATGCATAACTTCTTTGTTCTCTACAGCAGAGGCTGAACCAAGGGGTCAACAACAGACCAAACACGAGCAAAAGTAGCTTACAACATCATAAGAAACATAAAACAAACCACACTCCTAAACAACAAAACGCCTCCTTTCAGTACAACTTGTGGCCCGATAACACAACATTTATTTAACATAAATTTTGAATTAAACATCATTACTGCAGCACACAGACAGTTAATCAAGCCTACAGACAAAACTGACTCCTTTGCTTCATGCTGTGTGTCTTTGTGGATCATATTAGAAATATAAGTCATTAACTTCAAGGATACCTCCAAGTAGAAAAGACCTGTGGGATTCGTCATTATTTGAAACACTTGCCATGTTTAATTTGAACATTGTCACTGAACTCGTCTATATGTGACTAAAAATGAGGAATAAGGTCAGTTTTAACTTAAAAAAAAGTGACTTTTATTTAATAAATACATGGCATGTATCTTATACAGAAGTGGTACACAGATTATATTTTGTGCACTTTGGTAAGACAACAAGGACATCATGTTGACCTACAGATGGGGTTTTTTTAAGGCGTGAGGAAGCAAGTTTCCTATCTTTCAAGGTTGGATGGGGCAAACACGGAGTAAGAGTGTGGGATATTCCTGATACAGGCAAGCGGCTCATACAAATAAGTGTTTTTTTTTACCTCTCAGCTGTAAATGGATGATGGGCTATTGTTGTCACCCTGTAGGACAATGCATAAACGTATAGGTTTTATAAACTATAATGCCGAAAGTATTTGTTCATCTATCCAAATAATTGAATTCAGGTGTTCAAACCACTTCCATGGCTACAGGTGTATAAACTCATGCACCTAGGCATGCAGACTGCTTCTGCAAACGTCAGTGAATGAATGGGTCGCTCTCAGGAGCTCTATAACAAAGTGGAAGGGCTTTGAAGTGGTAGTGTCATGGACTGAGTCTTTTGACCCAGCATTTTGAGTTTCATGCCTTTTTGTATTATGATGTTCTTTGTGTTGTTTGTATAGTTTAGGCTTCAGTGAGTTCTGTTGATATTGAGTTCTGTTTCCTTATTTAGTTCTTGTCTGTCTAGGTTCCTCCCACGTCTGTGTCTTCCCCATTACGTGGGTTAGGGTGTCGTGTCTTCAGTGTGCGAGTCTGTCAAGTCCCCTGTGTTTAAGTCTCTCTCGCCCTTTGTGTGTCTCAGTCATTTCTTTGTCTCCCTTTCTTTCCCATCGTGTCCCTCTTGTTCTCGCTCCCTCTCTTCCGTGTTCCCGTCTCATCCTCTCCTTAACTATCACCATGTCAAGTCTGTGTGTCTTAGTCCTCGACCTTCCTGTTTTATTTTGACAGTCTCATGTTCCATGTTTATTGTGTTTAATTTTGCTTCCCTGTGGCGTCATCTTCATTTGTATCAGCTATTTCCCTGTGTGTTTACACTTCCCCTGATCACCTCTTGTCTGTATATAGTCTGTGAGTTTTCATTTATTCTTTGTCAGTTTGTCTTTTGAGTTCATGTTATGTTTCCATGCCTCCATGTTTCAAGGTTTTTTATGTTCAGGTTTTATCATGTTCAAGGTTTTATGTTCTTTGTCTCATGTGTTTAGGATTTAGTTTCTCCCAGTTTAGTTCTAGTTAGCTTTGCCTTAGTGTGCATCTGCCTTTTGTTTTGTGCATGTTTCCCAGCCAAAAATAAACGGTTCGCCTTTTGTTAAATTATATTTTTCCTCCTCTTTCCACACGGTCTGCCAGCGCAGACTGTGACAGGTAGGCCATGTAGCGAGGTCATCGGATGCTTAGCACTATGTGCCTCGCCTGAGGCATAGTGCCCTCACACTTCATGTGACCTTCAAATTAGCTCAAGAAAAGTATGTAGAGAGCTTCATGGAATGGGTTTCCATGGTTGAGCAGCTGCATCCAAGCCTTACATCATCAAGGGCAATGCAAAGCATCGGATACTTTGCATTGGATGCAGTGATGTAAAGCATGCTGCCACTGGACTGTAGAGCAGTGGAGACGTGTTCTCTGAATTGAAGAATCGCACTTCTCCATCTGGCAATCTGATGGACGAGTCAGGGTTTGCCAGGAGAACGGTACTCCACCAAGTGTAAGGTTTGGTGGAGGGACGATTATGGTGTTAGAGTTGGATGTCTCGAGAACGGTCTTGGTCTCGAGACCACGTTTACGTGGTCTTGGTCTTGTCTTGGTCTCGACGAACTTTGGTCTTGCCTCAGCCGTGGGGCGATCACGGCTCAAGAGTTGGGAGTTCGCCTTTTAATCAGAAGGTTGCCGGTTCGAGCCCCGGCTTAGACAGTCTTGGTCGTTGTGTCCTTGGGCAAGACACTTCACCCGTTGCCTACTGGTGGTGGTCAGAGGGCCCGGTGGCGCCAGTGTCCGGCAGCCTCGCTTCTGTCAGTGCGCCCCAGGGTGGCTGTGGCTACAATGTAGCTGCCATCACCAGTGTGTGAATGGGTGGATGACTGGTTGTATAAAGCGCTTTGGGGTCCTTAGGGACTAGTAAAAGCGCTATACAAATACAGGCCATTTACCATTTAGCATACCAAGACATTCTAGACAATTTCATGGTCCCAACTTTGTGTAAACAGTTTGGGGATGGTCCCTTCCTGCACAGTCCATAAAGACATGAATGAGCAAGTTTGGTGTGGAAGAACTTGACTGGCTTGCACAGACTCCTGACCTCAACCCAACAGAACATCTTTGGGGTGAATTAGCCTGGAGACCCAGGGTTTCTTATCCAACATCAGTGTCTGACCTCACAAATGTGCTTCTGGTCAAAAATTCCCATAAACACTCTTAAACCTTGTGGAACTCATATCTGCATCCGCTGTGGCGACATCATAATAAACTCTATAGATTAAGAATGTGATCTCACTCAAGGTCATATGTTTGTAAAGGCTGATATTTTTGACAATATAGTGCAGGATCTAATCTGAAAAGTCTGGCAGAGATAAATATGTATGTTGTTTATATCAATCATACAGTCTGTTAGTCCCTTCCAGAGTAAAGGAAAACAACAAAACCAAAGCATTATGGTACTGTGTTTAAAGTAGCAGAAACTCTCAAGCTGCTCTAATCTACTGTGCGTGATCACGTAATCAAGAAGAAAGCACATCATTCATAATCGGTTTGCTGTTAAGTGAACTTTGTACGAGAAAGAAAGGAATAAGTGGAGCATTGTGGAGGAAACACCGATGATATCTGGGGGGGTGAGAGGTTGGTCAGCTGCTCCAAAAAACTGTCAGCAATTCTGTGCCTTTGCACAAGGACTCAGGCTCATTATCACACAAACACACACACAGACAGTGAGTGGGCCCTTTGACTCCTCACAGTTTGCCGCTGATCAACTGGCCTCCAGAAGATAGGAGCACAGAGGGTTTCTTTCAGCTATTACAGGACTTTCCTGTCGGTGAAGCTGTGCTTTTTCCAGTCGCTGGCATCATGTTTGACAGCCTCTAGTGGAGAGTTGCAGCTTAAAAACCCCCAAAACAACTATCACTTAGATGACCCTCTTGTCCTTCACGTGGATTTATGGTGGTGAAAGGTTAAGCATAAATCAAAAATACACATGTGGCTGTCAGGGCGGTTCATTAAAAGTTCTCAATTGATGTGTCTGTACTTTCTATTTTTAGCGGTTAGTCGTGCCTTCCTCTGTCTGTTTAATGAAGGCAGATATTTTGCCGTCAGTAGGGGAATGCATTTGTGCGTAACACTGTGTGCAATTATGCGTACATGCACATTTCTGTGAGTAAAGCCTGTATGCTATTTGTCATTTATAATGTGTCCTGTGCCTCGCTGTGCTTGCGCAAGTGTTTGTGTGTGTTTGTGTGTCTGCGTTCCTGCCTGGCCCCATCTGTGACCAGAGCTGTGTGCAGAATAACAATGAGAGTCTCAGGCTACCCAGACTGTGTGTGTGTGTGTGTGTGTGTGTGTGTGTGTGTGTGTGTGTGTGTGTGTGTGTGTGTGTGTGTGTGTGTGTGTG